TTGCCTTGTCAGTGCTAAAGGAGTGGGTGAACGTGTATTATATTCCACTGATCACTCCACCCCTCCTCTCCCCCACAAAAGCACACAGCATGTTTTTCACACCACTTCTCTAAGCCAAGAAGGCTGTCTCTCTCCCCTCTTCACTCAGCCAGTAGCTAGTTACTTCTCCAATAAAGGCCCAACCCAAGTTGTACTTCCTAATAAGCCCTTTCCTTGTTATTCTCCACTCGTGATGATTCTCCTTATTTGACTTCCAATGACACTCTTTAGACAAGCATCCATCACTTAAGATTCACAATTTCATATGTTCAAAGTATTTGAGTTTAAAATCTTATCTTTAAAAGTACAATGGAAGCCAGGCATGATGGCCTATGCCTGTAATCCTAGCACTCTGGGAGGCTAAGACAGAAGAATCTTGAGTCCAAGTTCAGCCTAGGAAACTTAGCAAGACCCTGTCTCAATACACAAAAAGTAACAATGGAAAGGGCCAAGGCTGTAGGTCAGAATTCAATCCCCAGTTTCCCCCAACACACATACACTGGGGAAGCAGGAATAGAAAGTGAGTCTACAGAGTTTCAGTTTGGGGTGATGGAAAAGTTCTGGAAATGGATAGAGGTAATGACTACACAAGAACGTGAATTTCATGGTTCACAAAGTTCAAGTGCAGTGCTGACTGCTACTAGATCACTTAGGGAAAATATAGCTGCAAAAGGATGGTTATAATAATATTCAAACATTTATGGATCACATTACTGCATAAAATCCTCTTCAATGCAAATTAATCATTTGATCCAGACAAAAGCCAGTGAAGTAAGAAAGACAAGATTTTACCTTTACTTTCTAGATGAACAAATTAAGACTTGAAAGGTTTAGGGGCTCAGCTGGGGTCACACAGTATCAGGCAGAGCTGACAGTCATCTGGGTTTGGTGAATCAGAGAAATTCCCTAAGCTTGTTAATTTGCCCAAACAATTAGAGCCTTTTCTCCTGGGAAAAACCCAGGCAAGAGTATGTGTCACTACACAAAGGAGAGGAGTCCGGGTTTTGCCCCCTCAGAGGGCAGCTGCTCCCACACAACATCAAGGGCAAGTGGTCTGCAGACTCTTCTCCAACCAGGCAGCTCCTCCTGCACATACATCCTTCCACACTGCCTGATCCCGTATGACAAAGCCAAAGCATTCGCTGGGAGGTCAAATCACCAGGAGACGCGACAAAGAGAAGCGGGCTCTCCAAAGTGGGAAAAGTAGGGACTACCAAACAATGTCCAGAACTCTAAGATAAGGTTTATCGATGGTAGAACCATCTAAAGGTTAAGATGTAAGACCCCTTTAAGCGTGGAAATGGGTATCTGACTTCCTTAAAGGCTTCCTTAAAGGTATCATAGCTTCCTTAAGCACCTGTCTGCCAGGGACAGCGCACACGAGGGTGGTGGTAGTGGCATGTTACCTCCCATGAGTTTCCCCTGGAGGTAAAGGCTGAATGTGTTCCTTGATACAGAGGAAGCTGGTTTCCAGACTCCGATGAGCTACAAGTTAACAGTCCCCTACAGACAGCCTAAGTTACCTGAAAACTGATGTCCCTAAAGTGCCCTGAATGGTAAAAGATTCAAACTGCAGCCGTAAATTTCAACACTTTGGTCTTTTTAGCCTGTCATTATTATTTTAAATGTTGTTTGTAATACTGAAGAATTGCTTCTCCAACTCCTGAGCTGTAGGAAGTAAAATACAATCTCCTTTATAAGGAATATAAATAGTGTGACCTCTAGGAACCAGACACCCCCTCACAGATAAGGTGGGCACTCGGACATGCCTGTACATAGTCATACTAAGTCCAGCACCTTCTGCATGACCTCCTGCGAAAAGCACTGCACTGTCACCAAGGTCTTCAGAGCACGGCATTCCAGGAAGGATTACCCTGTCCGTGAGACTCTGAAGTGTGGGTATAATTAGGCACTGCATCCATTAGAAGTCTACAGACGTCATCATGTGCACCAGCATCTGTTGACAGATCGCATGCCCAGCATATCACTGAAATGGCAAGTGTGGAGAAGGCAGCCCACAATAGAAACAATGGCATCTTGTCCTCACCCCGTTCCAACAGTTTGTCTCATAGGACATAAATAGAGGGGTCTGCTCTGGCTGTGCTGAGCTCACAGTTCCACATAATTTCATGACTTGAGCAAGTTCTATACCAAAAGTGGAAGGAGTCTCCTCTGGATCTGTCCTAATGAAGCGAGTGTTTTTTTGTTTTTTTCAGCCAGTATCTACAACTTTCTATCTACCTCAAGGAAAAAAGTGAATTCTCACTTTAAACTTTTCAGCACTATTTTGAACTGGCATTGCAAGTATGTCTGCTTTTTAACAATATAATTCAAGTGCTCTACAATTACATAACATTGTCACAGAGAAATCTCAAACTTAAAGTAAACTATAACAATGCCATTATACAGTATACAAAAATATGGAAAATGTAAAAAAATTAAATATGGCAGAAGACATGTCAGTGTGGCCCTTGGGAACTCATACTGCCTCTCTCCTGCTATTGTACTTTTTTTTTGCGGTACTGGGGTTCAAACTCAGGACCTGGTACTTGTGATACTGCATTATATTTTTTAAAAAACTCAACAAAAGTCTCCCAAAATTAAAAATAAAAAATGAGCTAGAGGCTGGGCGTGGTGGTGCACACCTGTAATCCCAGCCCTCAGGAGGCTGAGGCAGGAGGATCGTTGTGAGTTCGAGACCAGCCTGAGCTACACAGTGAGTTCCAGGTCAGTCTCAACTACACAGTGAGACTCTGTCTCAAAATACCAAAATAAATACATACATCCATACGTACAATAAAAAAAAAAAAAAAAAAAAAAAAAAAAAAAAGCTAGGGATATACTTCAATATGAGGGCCCTGGATTCAGTCCTCAGTACTGCAAAACGAAACAAAAACAACCCAAACAAATTTACACAATAAAATAAGAATAAGCTGATACTTTTTTGTTTGTTTTTGGAGACAGGGTCTCACTATGTAGTTCAGGCTAGCCTCGAACTCGCTATGTAGTCCAGGCTGATCTCAAACTCATCTCAATCCTCCTGCCTCAGCCTGACTGCCGGGATTACAGGCATGCATAACCATGCCTGTGCCACTAAGCAGCTGTTTTTTAAAATCCATGAAAAATATAGTAATCAAAATTGTGAAAGTCAAAAAACATAACAGTGCTCAAAGTTAGTCATTTTTTAGCTTTTTCTTGACCAATGATACATCAATAAAGTACTAATCAAGTCATGTTTCCTTCACAGCAAGACCTTTAAAACACTAGTTTAACTTTGCTTTTCTTTATAGACTCAATTTCTATTTTTCACTTCCATTCTCATATCTAAGAAAGATAGTGATGGCAGAAGCCTTAAGAAACTAAGGTAGAGACTGAAATATAGCTAAATTGGAGTTTTGAAGTAATAATGGCAAGTGATACTCTAAGGGAGAGGGTCAGCAAGAAAAGAGAAATCCTGATATAAAAAGTGTTTAGTTATTTGATAGTTATCCAAATACTAGGTCTCTCTCCTTCCAGCTGTGTGTTCGAACAGTTATGGAGTGTACGTGTTTTCCATCACACCCTTACTCGCCACATACTGTCACGTGATCACCCAGAGTGGCAGCTACAGATTCCCGTGGTCAACAGCTTTATCCACTCAAAATCAGGCCCTTAAAAGGGAAATAACTTTGCCCTATGCCCAGAAAATTGCGAGGGCATGAGGGGGAGCCCAAGGCCCTTGGCTTCACCCTAAGGTTGGGTTAGGTAGTCTTTGTTGTAATGCCTGGCCAGCCAGCCTCTGTGCCAAGACAAAAAAGGTGGTGGGACATTGCCTCCCAGTGAGCGTCCCCTACCTGTCTTGGCTAAAAGGATTAAGAGGAAACCTTGAAACGGTACAATGTTCCATTGGGCCCCAAAGAGCACCAACCAGGACGAGGAGGGAGCATTTGGGAGCTACTCCTTAAATCCCGTGTGCTTACTTCAATGAACTATAAATAGAGCGTGGAATAATTATGACTTCATGAACAGTTTTCTACAGAATCCCCCCGAGGAGCCTGAAACACTAAATAAATGACTTCCAATGACTGGAGGTGGCCCTGGGGGCTGAAAGGAAGGCGATGTTCATTTGGTCTCTGTGATTTGGGAAAAGACAGAGTAGGAAGGAACCCGACAGGAGGTCGCCAGTAGAGAGAAACCCTTTGGCCACGGTCACAGACTCGGTGGGGGTCGGGAGCAGATGTGAAACTCAGATGCCGGCCTCGCGCAGGCAGGTGTGAGGAAAGCACACTCAGCACTCCTCCTCCTTTACGTTTGTTTTCCAACTCTTCTGTCACAAGCACACACACGCACACACGTGTACCCAGTGTCCTGCCTACCCCTGGGCGTGCTCTCCTCTCTGATGGGGACGTGGGGAACAGGCATCATCTCCCTGGCGCCCTCACTACTCTGCTCTGCCAGTGCTGCCCACGTGCGGGGTCCCAGCGGGCACCGGCACACGGACACGCGGCAGGGGCCCCCTGACCTTCCTCTGCTGTTTCTCCCAGGCCGGGTCCAGGAGCAGGTCGCGGTCCCACTCCTCCTCCTGAATCATGTACTCATCCTCGTCGTAGACGTAGTTGTATTGCACGCCGGGCTCTATCTGGTTCATGGTGCTTGGAGGGGGCGGTCGGGACTGCGGCGGTGCGCGGACGGACGGACAGATGGACAGGCAGAGGCGCGGCGGGGCC